GCAGTGGGAGGGGATTTAGTGCTAAATGGAACTGAGCTGTCAACCTACGAGAAAACACGGAGGAGACGCAAGTGCATGGTATAAAGTGAAGGAAGGCAATCTGAAAGGCTGTTTGAAAATCCATGACATGTGAAAGAAAATGATGGAGACAGGACGAGACAAAGAATCTGCGATTGCGAGGCTTAGTGGAGAAAGAGAAACAATTAGCCAGAACACGAAAGCCCTGTGTGCCCTACAGTGGGACGTGTGTGCTCCCTGCAGTAGTCACAGCGAGCAGACAGCACGGTGGCAGCGAGCACCTCTAAGCATGGGTGACAGTGACGCCGCATCCCTAACAGAAGTACCACTCACGCAGACAGAGAGCGGTCCGGTGGAAGGGATCTTGAGAACTACTTAGTCCTTACTCCAATCTTGCTGTGAATGGAAAATTTGTGAAGCATAAAGATGTGTGGAGGACACCAGTTGACCACTTTCCTGAGGTTGCTATTCTTTTTTTTTAATTTTATTTATTTTTATTTATTTTGTTTTTTTCGAGACAGGGTTTCTCTGTGTAACAGCCCTAATTGTCCTGGAATTCACTCTTGTAGACCAGGCTGGCCTAGAACTCACAGAGATCCACCTGCTTCTGCCTCCCAAGTGCTGGGATTAACGGCTATAAAGTGAGTTCCAGACCAGCCTGGACTACACAACGAGACCCTGTCTCAAACAAAGAGTTGGAAAGATGTTCAGGGTTAAAGACCTCATCCTGTGCTTTAAGAGCTGAGGTTGCCATTCTCTAGACTGTGGATATCCAGTTTCTTAGCACCGTGCATGGAGATGCTTACCTTTACACCAAGTGTACTGCCGTAGGATAAAATCAGGCACGGTTCACACAGCCAGTTTCTTCCCTCATTCATCTGTTGGCATGCTTGTAGCTGGGGTCCTTAGTTTTGGATGTGGGAGGTGGGCAGCTGGAGCCCCGTGCTGCTGACTTTCTGTCAGCTCCCCTTCTGTCTTCCTTTGTGCTTTCTGATGCTGTTCTCCTCTCTGGAATAATCTACTCTTTGTTATCCCTACTGTTCCTGCTCACTGCAGCACATGGCATACCACAGAGGACACAGTGTCAGACTCTGCCACTGTCCAATGAACTCTTGTGATGCATCACTTTCGAGTCTTAGGACCTGCTTGCACATCCATCCCCAGGGCCGGCAGTGCTGTTACACAGCCTGCATTTGCATTTCCTCGCTGGGCAGGGCACTCCCCAGTTTGCACCAGTTGGTTAGTAACATTCCTTCAGGTTTTCTTTCAGTTGCTGTATTGAATGATTAATAGAGATAATGAAATCTTTTGTGAATTTATTCTTTTCATCCTCACTGCCCTTGAATTGGAGTGCTTAGCTCATTTGTGTTTAATGTTATTGATATGATCAGACTTAAATTTACCTTTAATCTTTCTTCCTTATAATCTTTATGTATTTCCATGTTCTCCAATTCTTGCCTTATTTTGGCTACTGAACTTTTTAAAAATAGCTTTTGAAAGATTTATTTATTTTTGTGAGTATGTTTTACCTTCATATATGATACATATCATGTACATGCCTAGTCCCCTTGGATCCTGTTGTTGGATCCCGGGAGCTGGGGTTACATGTGGTTCTGAGTGCCATATGGGTGCTGGGAGCCAAACTATTGATGTCTTTGAGGTTGTCTGTTTAAGGTCTCTGGTAAAATTGCCTTTATAGGCAGCAGTAAACTAAGAGACTGGGAGTGGGAGACACATATCACAGTTTAGCATGATAGAAATAAATCCCAAACTAGATCTCAGGACAAAGAGAGCGGGAGAGAGTGTCTGCAGCATACGATGCAAAGCATTGCTAAGCTGGTGGCAGGGCTCATATTGTGTTCCTAGTGTGTGAAGAGTTCTTATAGACCGAGAGGATAAATGTTAACTTTATAGAAACACAGGCAAAGGCAGAATCAAAATAAATGGCTAAAACTGTTGGGGGAGCCTGCTTGTTTGTTCTCAGCTGCTCAGAGCAGAAATAACCACACAGAAACTATATTGTTTGGCCAATAGCTTAAGCGTAATTTTAGCTGACTTATATTTTAAATTAATCTATTTATATTAAGCTGTATATTGCCACTTGGCTGTGGCTTACCAGGTAATGTCCTGTCCCTGGTGGGGCTACTTGGCTTCTCACTGACTCCGTCTTCTTTCTCCTCTGTCTGCTTGGAACTCCCACCTTGCCCTATTTTGCTAAGCCACTGGCCAAAAGAGCTTTATTCATTAATCAATAAAAGCAACATATAGACAGAAGAACTTCCCACACCACTCCCCCCCCCGCTTTTTTTTGTTTAAATAAAAAGGAAGGTTTTAATTTTAACAAAGTAAAATTATATACAACAAAACAGTTATAATTTCCGCCTAGCTCTGTTCTGCCCCATCACAGGCCAAAGCAGCTTCTTTATTCATTAACCAATAAAAGCAACACATAAACAGAAGGACTTCCCACACCATAATACCTTAGATAGTCTAAAGTAAAACGACCTTTGGATATTGTCGTAGTTAGGATTTCTATTGCTGCAAGGAAACACCATGACCAAAGAGCAGGTTGGGGAGGAAAGGGTTTATTTGGCTTAAACTTCAGCATTGCTGTTCATCACTGAAGGAATTCAGGACAGGAACTCTTAACAGGGCAGGATCTCGGAGGCAGGAGCTGATGCAGAGGCCATGGAGGGAGTGCTGCTTAATGACCTGCTTCTCATTGCTCAGCCCCACCTTCTTACAGAATTCAGGACCAGCAGCCCAGGGATGGCACCACACACCATTGGATGGGTCCTCCCCCACTGATCACTAAATGAGAAAATGCCTTACAACTGGCTGTCATGGAGGCATTTCCTCAGCTGCGGCTCCTTCCTCTGATGACTTTATAGCTTGTGTCAACATAGAAAAGTACAGATTCGTAGGTGCTGATGGAAAGGACGGTAGCATAGGAGAGTGGCTGGTCCCACACTGGGAAGTGTGTGGTGCTGAGAGCCAAGGCCCAGTTAGGGAAACTAGCGTTGACAACAGAGGAATACTATGGACATCCTAGTGGGAGGGATCACCATAGGTGTGTGCATGTGGGGCCGATGAGGTGGCATAAAATTGAAGGCTGTTGTCTGATTATTTTTCTTCCAGTAGAAGATAAAAGTCATCTATTAAATGGTTATCTTGAAACAAGGAATCAGACCCTTAATTATCAAAGGCATAAGTTTTATTTGTACCTTTCAAATTTAAGAATGCACACACTTTTTTGATCTGTTTTTTTGTGTTTAGTTCAGTTCCAGTTGAAGAGCAAGAAGAGTTCAAGCAGTATATGGATGACATTCAGGAGCTGCAGTACCTGCTGAACCAGGAGTTTAGGCAGAAAGCGGTATGTGGCTGTGGTGGTGGGGGGGCACACAGCTGTCTTTCAGTTACTGAAGACACCATCAACGTGTTGCTGTGCCTGTTTGTGTTGCCAGGCTATGTGCATTCTGGATGCATAGAACTCTTGTGTTTGGTTCTGCTGCGGCTGTGGTACCCTGAGCACTGCAGCAAATGCTCAAGGGGCGTTGGGTCAGTTTGTGTATTTGTAGGAAATATGGTAGTATTCTACATCTAGCCTGCACTAGCTCAAAATACTTAGTTCCCAGCTTCAGGTCAGCTTGTGGTACTTTCCCTGTATTTCCGTTAAGCTGGGGTTTAGGGGGTTTGTCATGCTAAGAAAAAAAAAAACCCAAAAGGTGCAAATCAGTGAGAAAAAATGATAATTTTCAGGCCTCAGCTGACTCTAAGTTGCCTGAGTGTTTGTGCTGCTCAGCAGATCTCACACACACCTAAAGAGTTACTGTTTGAAAAGGAACTTTCCCTTTCAATTGGCATATTAATTTTTGAAGTGTTTTGGTGGTGGTAGGACAGATTACGCAGTTCTTTATTTTTTATGGCTAAAGTATTAGCATTAGACAAGGGGAAGGTTGATTTGGGCTCACAGTCTCAGAGGGTTCAGTTCATCATGACGGGAAAGTACGGCAGAGTAGCTTACTGAATGGGAACGGGAAGCCGAAAGGAGTGCTCCCAGATGCCAAGGCAGTGGGCATCCTCCCGAGGCCTGCTTTCTTAGGCAGGTAGCTCTGCAGCCTCCTGACAGCCTGTTCAGGTTTGATCCATCAGTGGGTCAGAGTCCTCATGAGTTAGTTGTCTCCAGAATCACTCTCACAGGCACAGTGACAGCGGGCCTCACCAGTCCAAGGCTTTCTTAATCCATTTGTGCTTCTGTGAGACTCCCCATCAGGCCTGAGGATAAAGAAAGTTGGCATCATCTGATCTTCTCTCTTCCGCTTCTTCTTACCTTTATTGGATCAGGAAATAGCTAGTGGTTTAATTTGGGGGTTTCGAATCATAATAACGCAATTGTTTTTTCTCTTAGACAGGGCTGCAGGAGGGGCATGCCCAAAAGAAATCAGATATTTCAGAGAAAACCAAGCGTTTGGTAAGCATCCCCTGTTACCTCGTGTTTGAAGTTTGAGTATTCTGCAGTGTTTGAGCTGTGTAACTGTCAGTAGTTCTCTGTCAACTTTTTCCTTCAAAGGTGTCCCACCACCTGGCAACTTTTTTCAACTTAAATCCAGAAACTGTTATAAAAGAAAAAAGAATAACATCAACACATGGAAATGTATGAAGAGAATAAAACATACCCAAAGTTAATCATATAGGAATGCANTTTTTTGGTTTCTCGAGACAGGGTTTCTCTGTGGTTTTGGAGCCTGTCCTGGAACTAGCTGTTGTAGACCAGGCTGGTCTCGAACTCACAGAGATCCGCCTGCCTCTGCCTCCCAAGTGCTGGGATTAAAAGCGTGCGCCATCACTGCCCGGCTTATTTGTAATATTGTTTGGCCAATAGCTTAAGAGTAATTTTAGCTAAGTCTTATATCTTAAATTAACTCATTTCTATTATTCTGTATATTGCCACTTGGCTGTGGCTTACCGGGTAATGTCCTGTCCCTGGTGGGGCTACTTGGCTTCTCACTGACTCTGCCTTCTTTCTCCTCCTCTGTCTGCTTGGAACTCCCGCCTTGCCCTATTTTGCTAAGCCACTGGCCAAAAGAGCTTTATTCATTAACCAATAAAAGGAACACATAGAAGGACTTCCCACACCACTTCCCCTTTTTTGTTTAAATAAAGAGGAAGGTTTTAACTTTAACAAAGTAAAATTATATATAACAAAACAGGTATCATTTCCGCCTAGCCAAAGCAGCTTGTTTATTCATTAACCAATAAAAGCAACACATATACAGCAGGACTTCCCACACCACAATACCTTAGATAGTCTAAAGTAAAACTTAGACCTTTGGATATTGTCGTAGTTAGGGTTTCTATTGCTGCAAGGAAACACCATGACCAAAGAGCAAGTTGGGGAGGAAAGGGTTTATTTGGCTTACACTTCAGCATTGCTGTTCATCACTGAAGTAATTCAGGACAGGAACTCTTAACAGGGCATGAGCCTGGAGGCAGGAGCTGATGCATAGATGGAGTGCAGCTTAATGACCTGCTTCTCATTGCTTGCTCAGCCCCACCTTCTTACAGAATTCAGGACCAGCAGCCCAGGGATGGCATCACACACCATTGGATGGGTCCTCCCCCACTGATGACTAAATGAGAAAACGCCTTACAACTGGGTGTCAAGGAGGCATTTCCTCAGCTGAGACTCCTTCCTCTGATGACTTTATAGCTTGTATCAAGTTAAGACAGAACCACTGAGTACAGATAAGTAGGTGCTGACGGAAAGGATGGTAGCATAGGAGAGTGGCTGATCCCACACTGGGAAGTGTGTGGTGCTGAGAGCCAAGGCCCAGTTAGGTAAACTAGCATTGACATCATAGGAATACTGTGGTCATTCTGGTGGGAGGGACGGTAGATGGGTGTGTGCATGTGGGGCCAATGAGATGGTATAAAATTGAAGGCTTTCATCTGATTATTTTTCTTCCAGTAGAAGATAAAGTCATCTATTAAATGGTTATCTTGAAGGTATATAATTCAGAAACAAGAAATCAGACCCTTTACTTCATTATCAAAGGCATCTTTCAAATTTAAGAATGCACACACTGTTTTGATCTCTTTTTGTGTTTAGTTCGGTTCCAGTTGAAGAGCAAGAAGAGTTCAAGCAGTATATGGATGACATTCAGGAGCTGCAGTACTTGCTGAACCAGGAGTTTAGGCAGAAAGCAGTATATGCGGGCCCTTTAACATGTGGCTGGGGGGGGGGGCACACAGCTGGCTTTCAGTTACTGAAGGAGCCATCAGCATGTTGCTGCACCTGTTTGTGTTGCCAGGCTATGTGCATTCTGGATGCATAGAATTCTTGAGTATTGTCTTGTGTTTGGTTCTGCTGTGGCTGTGGTACCCTGGGCACTGCAGCAAACGCTCAAGGGGCATTGGGTCAGTTTGCGTATTTGTGGGAAATACGGTAGTGTTCTACATCTAGCTTGCACTAGCTCAAAATACTTAGTTCCCAGTTTCAGGTTAGCTTGTGGTACTTTCCCTGTATTTCTGTGAAGCTGGGGTTTGGGAGGTTTGTCGTGATTAAAAAAAAAAAAGCAAAAGGTGCAAATCAATGAGAAAATATGATAATTTTCAGGTCTCAGCTGACTCTAAGTTGCCTGAGTTTTTGTGCTGCTCCGTAGATCCCACAAACACCTAATAAGTTACTGTTTAAAAAGGAACTTTCCCTGTCAATATGCGTATTAATTTTTGAAGTGTTACAGTGTTGCTAGGACAGATTATGCAGTTCTTTATTTTTAATTGCTAGAGTATTAGCGTTAGACAAGAGGAAGGTTGATTTGGGCTCACAGTCTCAGAGGGTTCAGTTCATCATGACAGGAAAGCACGGCAGAGTAGCTTATTGAATGGGAACAGGAAGCCAAAAGGAGTGCTCCCAGATGCCAAGGCAGTGGGCATCCTCCCGAGGCCTGCTTTCTTAGGCAGGTAGCTCTGCAGCCTCCTGACAGCCTGTTCAGGTTTGATCCATCCATTAGGTCAGAGTCCTCATGAGTTAGTTGTCTCCAGAATCACTCTCACAGGCACAGCAACGAGAGAGCCTCACCAGTCCAAGGCTTTCTTAATCCATTTGTGCTTCTGTGAGACTCCCCATCAGGCCTGAGGATAAAGAAAGTAGACACCATCTAATCTTCTCACTCCCTCTTTTTCTTACCTTTATTGAATAAGGAAGTAGCTAGTGGTTTAATTTTTGGATTTTGAATCATTAACACAATTTTTTTTTCTCTTAGACAGTGCTGCAAGAGGGGCATGCTCCCAAAGATGTCAGATATTTCAGAGAAGACCAAGCATTTGGTAAGCATCCCCTCTGTTACCTTGCATTTGAAGTTTGAGTATCCTGCAGTGTTTGAGCTATGTGACTGTTAGTAGTTCTCTGTCACCTTTTCCCTTCAAAGGTGTCCCACCACCTGGCAACTTTTTTCAACTTAAATCCAGAAACTGTTATAAAAGAAAAAAGAATAACATCAACACATGGAAATGTATGAAGAGAATAAAACATACCCAAAGTTAATCATATAGGAATGCACTTCACACACACACACACACACACACACACACACACACACACACACACACACCCTTTAGGTGCTATTACTTTGAGTACCAGAAAAACAAAAGTAACTTTTTCAAACTCCAGCCAGGTCATGCAGTTAATATGAAAACACATCAAATACATTATGATTAAATACACGTAATATTATACATATAATAAATACATAATTAAAAATTATGATGTTTACATTGTGTGTTGTGCTGCTTATGGAAGGGATGTAGAGGATGAGAGGAGATTTTCAAGGATCCATGGATATTCTTTTTTTTTTTAAATACCATCTCAACCATTTTATTTCTTTTTAACTTTTATTTTATGTGCATTGGTGTGAAGGTATCAGATCCCCTGCAACTGGATCTTCAGACAGTTGTGAGCTGCCATGTGGGTGCTGGGAAACGAACCCGGGTCCTCTGGAAGAACGTTCAGTGCTCTTAACCACCGAGCCATCTCTCCAGCCCCATCCATGGATATTCTTAGGAACAGGATGCTGTGGATCTCGGAGATGCCCCTGAGGGTGTAGAAGAAGCTGCTGGCTGCTTCCCGCCACCCAGCTCCCGCACGGCTAGCTTTACCCAAAATAATTACATGGAAACTGTATTCTTTTAAACACTGCCTGGCCCATTAGCTCTAGCCTCTTACTGGCTAACTCTCACATCTTGATTAACACATTTCTATTAATGTGTTTAGCACCACGAGGTGGTGGCTTACCGGGAAGATTCTAACCTACATCCATCTTGGGCCGGAGCTTCATGGCAACTGCTTCACTGCCTTCTTCCTCCCAGCATTCTGTTCTGTCTTCCCCACCTACCTATGTTCTGACCTATCAGGCCAAGCAGTTTTCTTTATTAATTAACCAATGAAAGCAACAGATAGGTAGAAGACCCTCCTACATCATGAGGGTGTTTAGTGTCACACAAAGGAGCTTGATCTGTAGCCACAGCCATTAAGCAGGCCAGGGTGGTCAGAAGTCAGTTTTACCCGTTTACAGCAGGCATGAGCAATGCTGTTGGATTATTCAAACAGTAGTAACCAGTGTTGTTGTCTGGCCTGATTGCTGAAAATGTCTCTCAACAGAATGAACTAAAGTTGTCAATGGTTTCTTTGAAAGAAGCCCAAGACAGCTTGAAGAGTAAAATTGCGGACTCTCTCAAGAAGGTAGAGATCTGTAAAGAAAAGATGAAAGACGCTGTCCAGAAGCTCCGGAACTCCCGGGTGAGCACCCTGTGTCGTGTTACTTTCTGAATTACCTAGTGTCTACACAGATTGTTCTCTTTGGTGGAGTGAAGAGGAAAGGACACGGCTCCAAGATAACTCCTGACTCACTGCAGCAGCTGCGGCTCTGCGCTGCTGGGCCTTGTGGAAGTGCTGTTGTGTTCCTATGAGAACGAATCACTCCATTTTAGAGAAGAAAGGTAGAAAACAATTTTGCAAATAATTAGTAACTAAAAATTACAGTGTGAACTATGAAATTATAGAGTGTGTTGGTGAGCACAGGGATGTGAGAAATCTTTGTTTCTCCTGATCAATTTTGCTTCAAATATAAAACTGCTATAAAAAGTTAAGTCGGTTTTCAAAGTAGCATTAAAATAGAGGATGCTTGAAATAAGGAAACACTGAGAAAAGTAATATGAGTGTATGGGCAGTGAAGAGTAGAGAGAAGGTAAGTTCCACATATGGCAGCCATGGGAGAGCCATTGTACATACTGGGTGGAGACATTCCTGTGTGGATGCTTTTGGGTATTTTAGTTAGTTTCTATTGCTGTGAAGAGACACCATGACCACAGCAAAACTTAGAAAGGAAAATATTTGATTAAGGCCGGCTTACAGTTTCAGAGGGTTTAGTCCATTATCATCATGACAGAAAGCATGGTGGATACAGGTAGACACAGTGCTGGAGAAAGAGTTGAGAGTTCTACATCCAGATCAACAGGCAGCAGAAAGTGACTATGACATACATCCTCCAGCAAGGCCACACCTCCTAATGGTGCCACTCTCCACGGGACATTGGGGGTCATTTTTTACTAAAACCACTACCGTATCAAAATCCTTGTAAGTGTCTTTTCAAGCATGTTCAGTAAGTAAGCTCAATAAACTCCTTGGTTCCCCAGGATGGACTTTGGTGAAATTGTACTTTGTATCTTCATTGGGACTTACAGTTGGGATAGGCATTGCTTCCCCCTCTTCCACAGGGGAGAAAAATCTCATGACAGATCATAGACATATATGTCAATGTTTCTATTTCTCATGATATTAGAAAAAGGAAGCAGTACATAAAAGAACATGTTAGAAGAACATAAATGTGTAAATGCCCTTAATGAAAAAAAGACTTAGATATATGAAGATAATGATGACTGGGTGGCTCCAGAATAAACAAGACAGGAAAGGTTTCACAGCTATGATGGTCTGAGTAAGTTGTTTAAGGTATATAAAGGATGAGATTTAGAGATCATATATTTATTGAAGTTGGCAAGGTCAGATATCAACTGTTTCAAGGACTTGCTAAAATGTATGTCAAACAAAGTTTATTAAGATGTATCTGGCTATTGAAATATTATAAAGTAGTTAAAAGTACAAAACTGGTGTAAAACTGATCTTCTAGGTGCTTAATAATCATTCTTAGAGGCTATTCTAATTCTCCCCTTTCCATACAAGGTCAATGTGGTCCCTAGAAACAAAGGCCATTGATCACTTATTGTCCAGTTAATGGAGGACATTGAGAACCCACTCAATGAATCTGAAACATTATCAAGTCTAAAATGGAGGATCAATGTGGAAAATATTTCCTCAAGGCTTCAAAGGAAGCCACAGTACATAAAGCACAGCCTTTGCATTATTCTCACATTGATAGACAAATGATAAAAGAGAGACTTGAAGAGTCTGAGATTCCTTCCAAGCCAAAGTGACCTCTGAGGACTAGTTGTGCAACTGGCCTTGAAACACAAAAAGATTAATTTTGGCAACCTGCATTGTTCTTCAGTACTCAAGAATAAAATTTAATCAAAGACTAAAAGAATTGGTAATAACAAGGGATTGCATTCCATAGATATTAGATATAAGTCTATATGAGATGTTATTTAGATAACAAATTTCACTAATGCTTTCTTCTAGATAAAAAGATGTTGTCCAGATGTGAGACATCAGACCTTGGCTCCAGAAACATCTTCCCACAGCAAAGAAGGACAAGGTTTTTTGTTGTTGTTGTTGTTGTTGTTGTTTTTGTTTTTTTTGTTTTTTTTGTTTTTTTTTTTTTTTTTTTACCACTTGTTGTACTCTAATTTGGAAAAAATCCCCAACTTCCTAATGCTTTTGTAGTATGATTGGGCATCTCTTGGGTATATTCCTAAGAGTGGTATTGCTGGGTCCATGGGTAGGTTGATCCCGAATTTCCTGAGAAACTGCCACACTGATTTCCAAAGTGGTTGCACCCAAAAAGATGAATATGTTATGTACTCACTCACTAGTTGACCTTAGCCATAAACAAAGGGCATAAGCCTATAGTTCACAAGCCTAGAGAAGCCAAATAACAAGGTGAACCCAAAGAAAAACATATATAGATCCTCCTGGAAATTGGAAGCAAACAAGATCACAGGGCAAAAGTTGGGAGCATGGGGGTGAGGGTAGGGGTGGGATGGGGTTGGGGAAGTAGAGAGGGGGAGAGAGAAGGGAGAAGGGAAAGACTGGGGAGAGCTTGGGGGAGTGGGAGGGTGGAAATTGAGGAAGGGTGGATATAGGAGCAGGGAAGAAGGTATCTACATTAAGGGAGCCATTTTAAGGTTGGTAAGAGACTTGGCTCTAGAGGGGATCCCAGGTGTCCACGGGGATGTCCCCAACTAGGTCCTTGTGCAGCAGAGGAGAGGGTGCCTAAACTGGCTTGCCCCACTATCACACTGATGATTATCTCAAATATCACCATAGAATCTTCGTCCGGCGATGAATGGAGATAGAGGCCCTCATCAGAGCAACAGGACTGAGCTCCCAAGGTCCAGTTGAAGAGCAAGCAGAAGGAGGGAGAAGATGAGCAAGGAAGTCAGGACTGCAAGGGGTTGGTCCACCCACTGAGGCAGTGTGCGTGTTCTAATGGGAGCTCACCAAATCCAGCTGGACCGGGACTGAACAAGCATGTGATCAAACTGGATTCTCTGAATGTGGCTGACAATGGGGGATGACTGCAAAGCCATTGATAAATCCACTGGGACTTGTTTCTACTGCATGTACTGGCTTTTTGGGACCCTAGTCTATTTGGATGCACAGCTTCCTAGGCCTGGATGTAGGGAGGAGGGCCTTGGACTTCCCACAGGGCAGGGTTTCCTGCCCTCTCTTAAGGAGGGATGGGGATGGAGGGGAGGGAGGAGGGTAAGTGGGGGAGCAGGAGGGGAATGGGAAGAGGGGAGGAAGTGTAAATTTTTTAATGGAAAAATAAAAAGTAAAAGAATATGTCAAGTCTAGTGCAAAAGTTGGCAATATGTAAACACTTTCATATGTTTTTACTACTTCAATTTAGGATCACTGAAAAAAGCTGTTTTTCCAAAATGCTTCCAAATACTTCTTTTCTTGTTTCCTAATTCCCAGTCATCTTACAGAGATATTTTCTTAAGAGTTCCAGTGTTGAAACACCCCTTATCCAACCACCATATATTATCATCAATTCCTAGCACCGTCACGCGACTTCTTTTTTGTTCTTTGATTGTTTGTTTGTTTGAGACCGGGTTTCCCTGTAGCTTTGAAGCCTGTTCTGGATCTAGCTCTTGTAGAGCAAGCTGGCCCCGAACTCACAGAGATCCACCTACTTCTGCCTCCCAAGTGCTGGAATTAAAACCGTGAGCCACCACTGGCTAACTTCACACAACTTAAATCACACACCAGGACATATTAACAAACCATTGTACATGCACTTGAAAAGCATAAAATAATGATGTTTGTGAAGGAACTGATATATTCAAGTCCATTTCTTCGTTGTACCTTTTAAGTTCATAGTTTATTAAGTACATAGATAATTGAGCTCGTTTTTTAGGTGTCACATAATACCATTTTGAAACAACTTCTAAAAGTAGTAGTGAGGATAGATATCTCACAATTCTTAAGTCAGGTATTCCTGTAGCCTTTTTACTAGAACCTAAACCCATTTGACCTTTTCTAAGATTTTTCCATGGAAGAATCCAATGGGACAAAATAAAATTGAATTGATCTTTAAACTGTCCCACCATTGTTTTAACACAACTTCTCTTTCTGTAATAAATACCAAACTCTCTCTCTCTCTCTAGGTGAATGAAAAGGGGTATTATTATTTTAATTTAGGGAATATTTGTCAAGTCAGGGAACAGTATGCCATATCTCACTCATAAGCTGGATTTTATGGCATTACCATCTTGGATTATCTGTTGTGTGCTATAACTGCTTTTTATTCAACACTTGTGGTCACTCTGTGGTCCTATAAGAGTAACCGCTCAGTGCCAGGCACTCTACCTGTTTGGAAATCTAAGGTCAGTGAACAAGTTTTTAATCATCTCTGGTAGTTTCTGCTTGGAGACATGCTTCTGACCAGAAAAGTATCGCTCACACATATGATCAAGGCTACCTGATTCAACATAAAAAAGTTTGTCTCCAATGCTGGAGGTACTGCTATTCTAGAATTAATATGCCTTCCCAGGGATAAATCATTCACACACTTAAAATTTAATAGACATAAATTCCTTTAATAACAGTATGCATTCAGCGGTGATTAATGCTAAAAGAGGAGACAACCTGGGCCAGATTTTGCATTCCACATACGCTGTCATCCTTAAGTCTTTTTTAGGTTCAGGCCTGAGGTTATACATTGAACAGTTTAAATAGGAACAGGAGAAAGCCAGTCTAGCCACTTAGGCAGATGGAGATTTACAGAGAAAAACTATCTTTTAGATTATGCATTATGATCAAAATAAAAATATATCATAATATATGATTTAAAAATATATAGATCTTAATTTCTGATCTAAAAGATACATTTAAGAGATGTCTTGATGCCACAATCCTCACACACACAAAAGACATAGAACACAAATTTTAAAAAAATGTTATGGAAAAGTCACCTCTCCACATTGTGATTGTTCTTAAATCAACAGCTATTCTGAGCCATTCTAACCTCAGAATAAGCCTTCTTTTACCTCCAAGCAAGCTGGCTCAGAGAAAGGCCACAGGTGCTTCTTTGATAGAAAGCCCAGACTGATGTTTATCTCAAGTCTGTGATTTCTGTACAGAATTTTATTTTTTTTCAAGTTTTATTTTATGAACATGGGTGTTTGCCCACAGGTGTCTGTGTGCAGTGCCTGCAGAGGCCAGATGAGTGAACCAGATCCCTTGGAACTGGAGTTACGGGAGATGGTTAGCAATCATGGTTTCTGGCAACAGCACCCAGTGTTCTTAATCGTTAAGCTATCTCAATCTTTAAATGAAAAGCTAAGCTGCATTTTCATTTAAAATTTATTTTTATACATTTTAATTAAAACATATTGTATCACTTTCCTCCTTCCTTGTCCTCTTCTGTTCCCAAATTTTCCCCCTTCTAATTCCTTCCTTGTGAAGTCTGTGTGAATAAGTGCAAATATATGGATAAAGCCTGCTGGGTCCGTTTCTGTTGGTTTTGTGTTATGGTTTCAGAATTGAACATGCTGTTTCAGATACACAAATAGGGATCTCATCTCTGCCTGAGGCTAATTCACCCAACTGTGGAATTTAATTCTTTATTGAGCAACATGAATCTGACCCTTAAGTGATCTAGGTTGACTTGGACAGAAAACATTATCAAGAATAGAAAACTTGGATTGGTACATACCTCAGCTAACATTTGCTGGTGCCACAGCCCTGAAGTTCTAGGGCAGCAGGAATGACTATGGACACTGTCCTGAGCAAATCACAGGCTCCCTAGGTTCAATGGGCCTCCCACCATACCCTACTGACCATTCTCATTTTGGGTAACTTTGAAATCCTGACATTCCTACCTCTACTTTCTAAGTATCATGGCTACACGTCTGTGCCAGCATGCTTGGCTTAGTTGGCTTCAACTTCATTTAATCAGTCATTAGAATGATGGGATGAGTAAGATGAGCAGTTACACTTAATTATATTAAAATTCCAGCAATCTCTGTGAGCCTGGGTTTCAACCATCTGTAGAATAAAGACAGTACTGTGCTCTAGTCCCTTGATGAATTATAATACAAAGATAAAGAAAAACAATATTGCTCATAGTTGGAAGACAGTAGACTTTAAGACAGGAAGGCTGAATTTGATGGGAGTCTTCTTCTGTTACTGGAGTTAGGACCATAACCTGTGTCTTTGCTACCCCAACTAGTCAGGCTCAGTCACTCACTGTTATTAAACCAACGAAAAAAACAAATTACATTAGTACATTACCCTTAGTGGTGGTACATATCTTTAATCCTAACACTTGGGAGGCAGAGGCATATGGATCTCTGTAAATTCAAGGCCAGCCTGGACTACAGGGCTAGTTCTAGGACAGCCAAGGCTACACACACACACACACACACACACACACACACACCCCAAAAGAAAAACGTTTCTTGAAAAGCCAAAAAAAAAAAGTTATTTGTGATATACCCATCTATAATTCAGACACACCGGAGACAAGGTGGGCAAATCTCTCTGATGTCTAGAAGAGCCTAGTCTATATAGTGAGTTCCAGGCCACCCAGAGTTTCAAAGTGTGGAGAAAGATACCCTAATTTAATGTGGGAGTCCCTTCTGTGTGCTGTAATTACCATTAATAAAGAAAGAAACTGCCTTGGTCTGTTGATAGGGCAGAACTTAGGTAGGCAGAGAAAACTGAACTGAATGCTGGAAGGAAGAAGGGCAGAGTCAGAGAGATGCCATGGAGCCACTGGAGACAGACGCTGGGAATTTTACCCAGTGAGTCACAGCCAAGTGGCCATACAGAGATTAATAGAAATGGGTTAAATTAATATGTAAGAGTCAGCCAATAAGAAGCCAGAGCTAATGAGCCAAGCAGTGATTTAATTAATACAGTTTCTGTGTGGTTATTTCAGATCTAAGCTAGCCAGGAGGTTGGGAACCAAACAAGCAACCTCCCCACAACACTGATTGTCAGAAATCGGCCTATACCTATAGCTGTGAAAGAAAGTTATCCTGTGATGTGGGATTCCCCTCTGTAGGCTGTGTACATGTTTTATTGCCATTGGTTAATAAATTGCTTTGTCCTACAGCAGGGCAGAATATAGTCAGGCTGGAAGAGATACATAGAGAGAGTAGGTGGAGTAAAAGAGATGCAATGTAGTTGTTGAAGCAGAAAGGTGTCAAAAACAGAACCTTACCGATAAGCCACAGCCTTGTGGTGAGATTAATAGAAATGGGTTAATTTAAGATGTAAGAATTAGTTAATAAGAATCTTGAGCTAACAGGCCAAACAGTGTTGTAATTAATATATTTTCTGTGTGACTGTTTGGGTCTAGATGGCTCCGGAAACTGCCTGAGCAGGCTCCAACTACAATCCTGGATACCTACAGCTGATAGGAAAGCTACCCAGACTGTTATTAAGTCCGGCTATACCTGAAACTGTGGAGAAAAGGCACCCTGAGTACTTATAGCTCTAAAGAGAAAGGTACCCTCACTATCATGTCAGGACATACCTACAGCTGTGAAGGAAAGTATACTGGACAACTACAGCTATGAGGAGAAAGGAATCCTGACTGTTGAGAAGTCTGTCTAGAACTGAAGCTGTGGAGGAAAGGTAGCCTGATACCTAGGGCTCTGAAGAAAAAGGTACCCTGACTGTTAGAAGTCAGGCCATACCTACAGCTGTGAAGGGAAAGTGTACTGGACAGCCACAGCTATCAAGAGAAAAGGTATCCTTGTGGAGGTCCAAAACCTTGAACCTATTTCCACCTTTCCTGGAGGTCAAAGTTTGAGGTCGCTCAAAGTTGTTAAGAGGCATGGCTACACACCCTGACCTAAGGTGTGGATGTTTTGCCTTTTGGACTTTAAAAGGGCCCATACTGATATATCTACTCCCCCTTGAGCAAAGGTGAGAGAATTCAAACATCCTTCTGCTCTTTCTTTTGAATTAAAGAGATTTGACCTAGGGAATGACTGCCTTTAGGATTCACTGCCTGAATAACAGAATGTTTTCTCAATAATTAAGGACTTGATGGCTCAAAGTACTGAAGCAAGTAACTGTTCTGGTTGTCCTTGGCATCACGTTAAAGCAGTCTTTTGTCTTCTTCCCCCTGCTGTATTGGGGTATAAATGTATATAGAAAATTAAATGCAGGCAAATTTACAGTACTCACTGGAACTCCCTCCCGGTACTATCCTATGCTTCTGTTTTATTATTTTCACTTGTGTCTTCATCCTCTTACTTTTCTAATCCCTATGCCCCTACCCAGGTAAGTGGTATACTTGTCAAAGATGGTCCCTGACATATACTGACTATTGGGAAGTCCAGCTATACCCAAGGCTGTGGTCCAGTGGGAGATGTTCTCCCTGCAGATGTGACAATAGTGCTCCTCTCCAAGAGAGCCATCACAGCTGGGCCCTGCTTCACTCTGCTAAGAGAGCTTCAAAGCAGAGACGTCTATTGCTGTTCTGCTCCACTTCCCTAAGGGAGTTGAGTTTCCTAGCAGAGGTGTCCAGTGCCTCTCTGTTCCACCCCACTAGGGAGTTTCCTAACAGAGATGTTAATTTTTTTTCTCAGCTTCAGCCCAAATTGTTACTTCTCTGCTTCACTGGAGTTGATGGGAAACTTGCAGAAATGTTGCAGTCTCTGGTGAAGAGTTGCTACTTCTGCTCTGCTCCTTTAAGGGAATTTGCCAGCAGAAGTGACCAAAGCTTCTCTGTTCCAATCCACTACAGAGTTTCTGATCACTCCGGTGAAAGGTCTTCACCCAAAACTCATTCAAGAAACTTATTTGGAAGGGAAGAATCCAAGAGAGGGGCTGCCTCTGCCAGAGCAGAAATGGGCAGATGCCAACCAAACAGGTACAGAACTTATATAGGAATGCTTAGGGGCAGAGATTTCCAAGGGAGAAGATTCTCAGGGTGGGAATTAGTTAGATGTCAATCCCTGATTTTGAACAATGCAGAGATAGGCTGGATTGCATGCTCAGGGGTTGGTAGAGCTCAAGTTTAGGGATTAGCTGGTTTTGTGCTCAGTCAGTCAAGGGTAGAGTATGTTTCCTTAGCTCTTGTTTCAGGGCCAAAGTGTGTTCTTTCACTGGCCCCTTATAACCTTTTGAGTATGGTTTCAGGGTCAGGTGTTACTTTCATTGGCTCTGGATTCAGGAACAAAGTGTGTTTCTTTATCTTGGTTTTAGAGTCAGGATGTATTTCTCTGGCTCCAGTTTCAGAGTCAAAAATTATGTATTTCACTGGCTCTGGTTTCAGGGTCAGGATTGTGTTTCTTTGGCTGGCCCATTTACCCTACACATAGAGCTTCATAAATTCATTTTACTATGAGTTTGTAAGTATAAACAGTATAAAAAGGACATCATAGTGCTTGAAAAGATTGTTAACACTGTCAAATTTATTTCTACAGAAGAAATAGTCTTGTGTTGTAGGCAGAGGACTCTTGTTCATTCCTGGCTGCCCAGAACCGAAATAATCACACAGAAACTATACTAATTAAAACACTGCTTGGCCTTAGCTCAGGATTCTTATTAACTAACTCTGACATTTTAAATTAACCCATTCCTATTATTTTTTATTTTACCACAAGACTTGTGATTTACCAGTAAGGTTCCAGGGCATCTGTCTCCTTCAGCAGATACATGAAGTCTGACTCCACTTTCTTTTCTCCTCTGTCTCGGCTTGGAATTCCTGCCTTACTCTATTCTGGCCTGCCAGAGGCCCAAAGCAGCTTCTTTATTAAACAAGGTAATAAAATACATTCACAGAATACAGAGGGGAATCCCAAATCATTGTGTAGCTGATTATAAGTGTTTTGGCTAAAGATCTTACCAAATACTTTATAATAAGAAGTCCTCAGTATCTTTTTCAGGTTGTCAATGTCTATTGCAATATGCAAAGATTTTAACAGATTGTTGCGCACAAAAAGTTTTACTCTTATATAAAGTACAAAACTTTATCACACTGGATACATTTATAGGGTTTCTCTGCAGTATGAATTTTTTCTCATGATTTAGATTATTCATAGATGCAAAGGTTTTACCACACTGATTACATTCATAGAGTTTATTTCCAGTGTGTGATCTTTTATGCATTTGAAGAGTACTGTGAAGTGAAAAGGCTTTACCACACTCATTACATTCATAGGGTTTCTCTCCATCATGTGTTAGTTCATGTCTTTGAAGATGACTATGATAAACAAAGGCTTTACCACACTAATTACGTTTCTTTCTAGTATGGGTTCTTTCATGCCTTTGTAAATTACTATGCCGTGCAAAGGCTTTATCACACTGATTACATTTATAGGGTTTCTCTCCAGTATGTAGTCTTTCATGACTTTGTAGATAAATTTGATAAACAAAGGCTTTACCACACTGATTACATTTATAGGGTTTCTCTCCAGTATGGATTTTTTCATGACTTTGAAGATTACTGTGTTGTGCAAAGGCCTTACCACACTGATTACATACATAGGGTTTCTCTCCAGTATGTAGTCTTTCATGCCTTAGAAGATTACTGTGATGAGCAAAAGTTTTACAACATTGATTACATTCATAGGGTTTCTCTCCAGTATGGCTTTTTACATGACTTTGTAGAAAACCATGACATGCAAAGGCTTTACCACACTGATTACATTCATAGGGTTTCTCTCCAGTATGGCTTCTTTCATGAATTTTTAGAGAACTGTGATAAACAAAGGCTTTACCACACTGATTACATTTATAGGGTTTCTCTCCAGTATGGGTTCTTTCATGATTTTGTAGACTACTGTGCTGTGCAAAGGCTTTACCACACTGATTACACTTATAGGGTTTCTCTCCAGTATGGCTTCTTTCATGATTTTGTAGATTACTGTGCTGTACAAAGGCTTTACCACATTGATTACATTTATAGGGTTTCTCTCCAGTATGTAGTCTTTCATGACTTTGTAGATTACTATGCCGTGCAAAGGCTTTACCACACTGATTACATTTATAGGGTTTCTCTCCAGTATGCCTTCTTTCATGCCTTTGTAGATGACTATGACGTGCAAAGGCTTTGCCACACTGATTACATTCATAGGGCTTCTCTCCAGTATGGGTTCTTTCATGACGTTGAAGATTATTTATCTGTGCAAAGGCTTTACCACACTGATTACATTCATAGGGTTTCTCTCCAGTATGGCTTCTTTCATGAATTTGTAGATAACTCTGATAAACAAAGGCTTTACCACACTGATTACATTCATAGGGTTTCTCTCCAGTGTAAGTTCTTTTATGCATTTGAAGATGACTGTGATGTGAAAAGGCCTTACCACACTCATTTTCTTCATAGGGTTTTAATCTAGTATCTGTTTTTTCATGACTGTGAAGATGACTATCATTTGCAAAGGCTTTAACACATTGAGTATATACAGAAGTTTTCTCTCTAGTTTGACTTTTTTCATGCCTACAATGATAATGGTACATGTGAAAGCATTACTACATTTAATACATTGTTGACTATTTTATCTGTATAAATTAATTTTACAATTTAGTACTATTTTAAAGAGGGATTATATGTTAAGGAATTATATGTTTATAATCTTGTTTTTCCCCTTCATTAAGGCTTGCTTTTCATCTCTGAAGAGAACTGATAACAGTATTTATTACATGGTTCACATTTACAGAATCTTTTTCTCTGCACAAGAATTTTCATGTATTTGAAGAGAACTGAAAAAACTCAGAGCTTTACCACTCTTATTGCATTCATAAAGTTTCCTATACTGTGAGTGATACTACATTTGCTAAGTGAACCAAGGCAAACAGAAATATTTACACAGTCCTAGTACTCATGGTGCTTTTCTGAAATGTGAGTTTGTTGATATCTTAACAAGGAGACTAGAAAACCAATTACTTTTATACTTGTGCATCAAATTCAACAAGTCTACTCAACATGGGGACTGCTACATATCTTTTGTCTGTTCTGAGAGAGAGGTATGCTCTATCTTTTCACATCCCTATGCTCATGTGGCTTGTATACAGAGTAGCATAAGATATACCTAGTAAAGGAAGAATAACAAATATAAGGTTTCCACATTAAGTTCACACAGTTTGACTCTCTGTCCTCATAGACTTGTGGTATCTGGATTAAGGCTTCTCCACAACAGTTGCCCCTTGATTCATGACTCTAACTGCCTCCTCACTAAACTTAACAAGTATACAGGTTAAACGACCCTTTCTATAGACTAATAGTGTATTAGAGAGTTTTAGATATACTTATCACCTTTTCAACATGAATATCTTTTATAATATGAATAATATGAAATAAATGGATTGACAATTTTACAGTACAGCTCTCATTGTATTATGATTCAAATGGTAATATAGGTTAAGACATTGTTTCCTTGACTTCTTTCTTAAAAGAATGACTTGCAAATGCAGCCTACCTATCTGAAATTAAGGTATATAACTTTGTGAGAATTTAATAATCATCAATGTACTTTATTATTTACACTGTTGTTTTTGTTTAAAACATATAGGATACATTACAAATTCTTCAGAAGTACATTTGTATCAGGTTATCCATGAAAATTACCTTTCCTGTCTTCTAGAACTTTGACAAAGTTCTTCAATATTATGGTCTTCCCAACTGTATCCTAAAATATAGTGCCAGAAAAATGTATGTTATATATTAAAACTTGTAAAAAAAATTTAGTAACCACTTGAAGCAAACCTTAAAACCATGCCTGACTTATTTACCCATTCTTCTTTCTCAATCATATTACAAAAGAGCATCATTAACCAGTGAACAGTTGTCCCCTTATTTGAAACATGAAAGATAGTTCAGTCTTACCTATAGCAGTGAGGTTTCTGTAGGTCTCCAGCATTACATCTTTGTAGAGGCTCTTCTGGGAAGGATCCAGCAAAGCCCATTCTTCCCAGGTGAAGTCGACATGTACATCATCATAGGTCACTGCATTCTAAAATATCCCATACATGTGTACAACAGAAAGCATGAGTTTGACAACACTGTAAATATATACTGTATATATATGACACTGTATATATATGACACTGTAAATATATACTGTATATATATGACATATATGTCATATATATGACAGTATAGTCATGTAATTCTGGTGCACCTCATACTTATTCCATGACATAGACATCATAATTTAATCACCAAGTCACTTTAGAAGCAAACTGAATAGGATGTTCACCTCTGCCATTTCTGAACCCTTTGAATGGGATAGCACCTTGCAAGAGATATGTCTACTAACCAACAATGAAAGATACATTAACAGATCAAGAGTACAAAGTACATATAAGAGAAATTGTATGAATGATTAATCCCTAACTACAAAAAAAATGAGATGAAAAAACTGGATGCACTGAATCATGCCTCTAATCCTTGCACTCAGAAGGCAGAGGCAGGTATATCTATCTGCCTCTGAGTTGAATACCAGCTTAGTCCATGCAATCGCTTCTAAGAAAGACAGAAATACATATTAAATACCTGTTTCAGATGAAAAAAATTAATCAAACAAACATAAAAGATAGAAAAAACTTAGAGGTTTGCGCTGAAGTTTCAACAAAGCGTTATGCATTCACTTCAACTCTTTATTCATCTACCAGAAACCTGAAGTGCCCCAATTTAAACTGCAACATAAGATTTTACTAAAAGGCACTGTGTTTAAAAAGTTACAAATGGACAAATGAAAACAATAGCAATTAATATGCCGATTACAAATAATCAACACAGAGCAGGAAAGATGGCTCAAGAGAAAAGAGTCCTCCTAGTCTTGCATACAGGTGGGCTCAAGGACTTACATGGGGCATCATAACTATCCATCATTCCAAGTTCAGGGTTTCTAGTACCATCTTTTGATCAATGTAAGGACCAGGTACTCACATGGTGCATATCCATGCACAGAGGTAAAATACTCTTTTTAAAATAAAAATTCAAAACAAACAAAAACAGGCAGGAAGGTTATGTACCTACAATCCAATGACTCAGAAGGAACAGGCAGTATTAATGTCATGAACACATGCCATCCTGGGATACATAATGAGATACCCTCTGTCAAATTTTGAAATCCAAGATATAGGTGAAGCTCAGTACAACAGCATATGTTTGATAGGAACAAAACCATCATACAACAATTTAAAAACAAAAAAGCCAGGAATGCTGACTCACCTTTAATCCCAGCACTTGGAAATCAGAGTCAGAGGATCTCTGAGTTTAAAGCCAGCTTGATATAGAGCTACTTTCAGGACAGCTACGTCTATACAGACAAATCTTGTCTTCAAAAATAAATAAACAAAAATAAAAACAGTAGGCTACCAAACCACCTTAGCACCAAATAGCAGCTAATTCTACTGAATCTTATATGATTTAGTGATAAGAGTTTATGATGGTGTGTGGAATGGAGGCTTAAAATAAATCTAACACTACCTCAGAATTGAGAAATAGATATTTATTTAGGGGTAAACTCACAAATCAGAATTCTCTGCTTGAATGGAGAACAGAGATCGAATGCAGCAACCCAGCAATCTGAAAGAGCAGCCAGGGAAGTAAAGAAAAAGGGCAGATGCAACCTCTGCATCTGCATTTATAGTATAAGAGGCCACGTCCCAGTAGGCAGGTAATCACAAGCTGTAAGATTTCTTACAGCAATGGTAGGGAGGTTATAACAGCAAAAGAAGAAAGCTGACTGATTAGTTTCAACCACAACACAGTAGGCACAAAGAGCAGGAAATGGGTTGGGACTATAGAAATGCCTATTGTGGTTCTCCCCTCTGTATGCTGTGATTATGATTGGTTAATGAAGGAACTGCTTTGGGACTATAGCAGAGCTATAGGACAGGACCTAGGTAGGTGGGAAAAACTAAATTGAATGCTAAGAGGAAGAAGGCACAATCAGAGAAGTCATGTAGCCCCACCAGAACCAGAAGCTGGAAACTTTACCTGGGAAGCCACAGTCACATGTCAATACACAGATTAATAAAAATGGATTAAATTAATATGTAAGAGTTAGCCAATAAGAAGCTAGAGCTAATGGGCTAAGCAGTGATTTAATTAATACAGTTTCTGTGTGATTATTTTGGGGCTGAACAGCTGGGAAACTAACAAGTGGCTTCCCACAACAAACTGGTGCCCATGTGGCCAACTAAAGTCCACTTAAAATCTTAGAGAGATTGGAAAGGAATTCTAGACACTAAAAAATGAAGTTTAGTCGCATTTATGTCCCCAAATGGGCTTTGCTTGCTGGTGACATACTGCGGCTCCCTTAAGAGAGGTTTTCCTGATTTAGAGGTAGCAGAAAAACGCTGCACCATTTTGAAATGCCGGCTTTCTGGGTGGTGCTGCCAGCACAAACTCTGACTCTTTCTGGAGGATTGGCTATGGGGTCTGTGAACAGATTGCTAATGGCAACTTAGACCCCCTGTGTGTCTGAAAATGGGGCAATGTACATGGCTCTCGGAGGCAACAAACATGCTTCTGCCATGTCAGACTGAGTGGAGCAAGCAGGCAGGCTGTATTTGCTCTACCAATGGCACAGCTTAAGTTCATAAGAAGTGCTTAGTGTTTTAAGAAGCACTCCTGAACAGTAAAGAATTACAGATACACAATAGGACAGATTCATGCATAAAAGACCTCTAAACAGTGTGTTTAAAAAATGTACATAGGCTTAGGAGACAGAAGAAAAAGAGTATAGAGAGATAAAAAGGAGTAAATGGTTTATAAAAAAGATGAAACTAAATCTTTAAAGAGACAGAGTACAGTCATAAATTAAAGGAGTAAAGATAATAAAATAGATATTAAAAAGTAATAGAATAAAACCAAATAAGCCACGTAAAAATGGACTATATACAGAGTGACTGGATTATGTATATTATTGTGTTTTCTTTGAATTTTTTGACTGTAAAGGAGCTAAGTAACCAACATATATACTTTAAAGGTATCATGTCTTTAGAATTTGGGTCTAAGGATTTGTTACTTTGGAAAAGAGGTTCTTCTTTTGTTTCCACGGAGGATGATAACTTGTGGAATCCTTCCAGACTAATGTGGTTTAATGAACTAAGACCACCCAAAAGGCTGCTGTGAACACCCCCCAAAAATTACTTTGCCAAATAAAAAGCAGAAATCAGTTTGGAGAGAACTATGCCCACATTCCCAAATACTGTTCATAAATGTTTGCTTACATTTAAAGGGGTGTATGCTATAGAGATTTGCATTGGTATAGATCTTGGTTTGTTGATATGAATTTATGGTCAATTTTATTATATGCATTTCTGCTCTTGATTAAGGTTTTGTATTTGTGCAGCTCATTTAAAAATGTAATGTATAATTAAAATATAGGTAAATAGTCATCTATAATAGTAATAATCAAGCTTGTAGTCATGTTAGTTAGATTTTCTAGATGTACAGAAATGTATTTCAGAGAGATAGGGATTCTTCAAATCTTTCAGAGACTTTCAGAATATGGCATTTAAAATGTTTTAAGAGCTTAAGACTTTTCATGACAAAGAGACACATCTGCTCCTGGTGGCACCAATCTACTTCAAGAGGAAGATGGGCATTGAAGAGGCTCCTAACGGAGTTTGTTAGCCATTTGAGCAAGAAACTGCTCTTGCATGGACTGCTTGATGAACTGGACATGCAGGATCCACAGAGAAATGATTGCTGAAATTGGCTAAAGGTGAGATGATTCTTCGGGGTTCCTTATTCATGAAAGAGTCTGCCAGACATTCTGCAGGACACAGAAGAAAGCAACTGATGGACTTTTCCATTGCAAGGCAGAGCAGGTCTTCAAATTTCCTACTTCGTGGAAAAGTCTTCTGGATAATATGGACCTGTGGGCTGAATATGGAAGCCCCAACATTACAGAAGAATTTTGGGTGACTGTCCAGGCAGCAAGATATCTCTGTCATTTCTAGAGTTTTGGAAGTTGCTTACAATGCATCTCCTGTTTACTTAGGTAATATTATATCCTTCTGGGGTCTTTGATGGAGTTGAAGAATTTATAGTTTTCCTTAGTTATGAAAAAAGATAAAGTAGATGTAAATATTGTAACTGTAGTTCTTGCTTGATACCTGTTTGTTATATGTAATTTTACTATGTTAAAATTAAAATCTTCCTTTTCATTTAAAGAAAAGGGGAGGTAATGTGGGATTCCCGTCTGTATGCTATGATTATTGTTGCTTAATAAAGGAACTGCTTTAGGCCTACAGCAGAGCTATAGGACAGGATTTAGGTAGGCAGGGAAAACTAAAGTGAATGCTGGGAGGAATAAGGTGGAGTCAGAGAGAAGTCATGTAACCAACCCTGCCAGAGACGGATGCTGGGAATTTTACCCGGTAAGCCACAGCCACATAGCGGTACACATATTAATAGAAATGGGTTAAATTAAAATGTAAGAGTTAGCCAATAAGAAGCTAGAGCTAATGGACCAAGCCATGATTTAATTAATACAGTTTCTGTGTGATTATTTTGGAGCTGAGCAGCTGGAAACAAACAAGCACGCCTCTTTACTACATCATATCACATCCCCAATGAGAGATTTCATCCAGAAAGGCTCCTCCTACTAGTGGTTTCACAAGCAATCAAATGAAATTTACCAAGAAGAGGCCCGTGTTAAAATACATCTTATCTGGGAGGTTTTTCATTCAATCAATTACATTCTGACCTGTGTCACTATAGGTTCATGGTCATCCATGAAGAAAATTTAGTCACTTCAATGATATTCATATTCTGCAATAGCCCCTATACTGATCAAATGTTCAAAGTCTCTTCTGATGTTCAAGACAATCACTTGACAGTGACTTGTTGACAGAGGTTTCTGTCCCACCAGGTCCCACAGTCATTCAGTCCCAAAGAAACACACAGAGGTCTACATTAATTATAAACTGGTTGGCCTATTAGCTCAGGCTTCTTATAAACTAATTCTTACATCTTACATTAGTACATAAA